AAAAAAAAGGCAATGGCTGTTGAAAATAGCAATTCCAGTCCTAAAAACCACTGGGAAGCATTTCTTGCTCAATTTTTATCCTACTTTTTCTACAGCAAGTTACAGTGTATCAGTATATTTGATTTGGGAGAAATGAAGTAACAGCTGCCCAAAATGAGCTTGAGCACTCCTGAATTTTGAGGATGTTCCAATCTGGAAGGCAGGTGCTAGATTCCCTTTCTGAATATTAGCTAAATCAGGAAAGGAAGAGTCAATTTCTGCTTCTATGGCTCAGAAGTGGAAATCCTCCTAAGTGCCTGGTACTGTCTCTAAAGCTGCCCAGGTCCTCCAGCGGAGCCTTCCCTCTCTTACTTTTCATTTTAAATTCTAGTAGGATCCTCGTACCTCCCTTGCTAGGCTTCAGATAGAGAGGTGCACTGTCCATTTAATCCACCCAATTCTTTCTTTGGGGGCTGCAAGGTGAGGTCACACCAGTATCCCTAATCCAGTCTGGGGAAGTCTTCTGAAGGGGATATCTGGGCCAAAGCCTTCTACTACTTGGGCACACTTGTTCCCCGTTCACAGTGCCACCCCCTTCTAGCAGCCAGCTCTCGACTCACAGCAAGCTGCAACATGGCTCACCTACCTCACTCCATCCCCGTCCCTTTCCTGTTGATAGCTGCCAAGGGATTGCTGGGAAATGTAGTTCTTTCCCTGCTCCAGAGCTAGCTCTATAGGCAGGGAGCTAGCCAAGGAACTACAGCTCCCAGGGTCCTGTGGGTTCTCTGCTTCTGCAGCGTTGTGAGAGGTGAGGGAGTGAGTGTTATGGGGCTCTACAGCTGGCCCCCAAGCAAAAAAAAAAGCATGGCCCGAATGCTGCCCCTGCAAATGTGCTGCCCCAAGCATCTGCTTGCTTTGCTGGTGCCTAGAGCCGATCCTGGGCGCAGCATGCTCGCTGCTCGGTCCCCGCAGCAGGCCCGGGCTCGGGGGGTTCGGGCCCGGGTGCCAGAGCCGCAGCCGCCGAGCGCCACGTGCTTGGCCGCTTCCTCCCCCCGTGGCAGTGGGAGCTGCAGCAGTAGCTGCTCCCGAGTCCCGCTGCCCAGGTGGGGAGAACAGCCTACTCTCCCTCCAGGTACCACCCGACTGAGTCCTGCCTGCTTTCGGGGCCAGGCCGGACTCTCACTCACCCCAGCCCCGCGCTTCCGCTGCGTCTCCGGGGCCTCCCTCCAGCGCTTGTGGAGGAATGGGGGGAGTTGGTTTTTTGCTCTGCCGCTTTTTTTTTTTTTTGCTCCGCCTCCCCTGGGTCCCGATATTTGACCTGGGTGATCTGGTTACCCTAATCTGAGATGAGGTCTTTAGCTGTGTAGTATTAGATGATTTCTTCCTAGAGTAACTTCACCAACAATACAATGTTTTGTGTTGGGAAATTATCCAAAAACCCCTGTTCCCAACAACATAGCTGAGCACTACCAGTGCTTCATAAATCCCAGAATGTATTGGTACAACCATGGTTGTAAGTAGAGCTGTGTGAATAATGATTTTTTTTGGTTCATGGGTAATTCCAAAAAAATGTGTCTGGGGGAATCATTTTGGGTCAAACTGTAATTTTTTTTTTTTTAAATTTTTCAGTAAATCAAAAAGAAAGAAAGAAAAGGGTGGGGAGAGAGATTTTGTTCATTCTGAAAAGAAACATGTTATTTCAATTTTGAGTGTTTTAAAAATAAGTTGGAAGGAAATTTCTAAAGGAACCAAAAAATCAAAACATTTAATTTTGCAAATGTAATTAAATGTTCTGACTCTTGAGATTTTTTTGTTTTTGTTTATTTTTTGACATGAACAATTTAGCAAACTACTTTGTGAAGTGTTTGGTTACTGAATCTGAATTTTTTTGCAGAAAAAAGTTTTGGACAAAAAAAATTAGCCCAGCTCAGGTTGTAAGATGTGTTTTGTGAACACCAAAATGGTTCTATCAGTAGCCTTGTTGCTGTGTGAACTTGCTAAACTCTTGCAAGAATAAGTTGGACCACCATGTCATGCAACTCATGTCCTTGCAACAGATTCCTCACTTAATGGAGACACACTGTAAGGATTTATTTTGCAAAATTTCCCATCATTGCTCCCACTAGTAGGAAAATGTAAGAAAAAAATCCTTTTTTGTAGGCAAGACAATGTTACATTGTTTCAATGACATATCAATGCTGACCTTCATCTTTTACACAAAATGCATTGTATCTGCCACTTGGAGAGGGATCATTTTCAATGTTAACATCGATAGCTTTCACACTCTGCTGGTTGCTGCCTGTCTTACTGCACACCATTGTCCTAAAATAGAGAAGAAGGAGAACAAAATCAGAAGTTCTGCAGGAACTGTACTGCACATATAGGTGAAATTGGTTGGCCTTATATCACTTCATAGACTCATAGACTTCGAGGTCAGAAGGGACCATTATGATCTTCTAGTCTGACCTCCTGCACAATGCAGGCCACAGAATCTCACCCACCCACTCCTGTAACAAACCCCTGACCTATGTCTGAGCTATTGAAGTCCTCAACTTGTGGTTTAAAGACTTCAAGGTGCAGAGAATCCTCCAGCAAGTGACCCGTGCCCCGTGCCCCACGCTGCAAAGGAAGGCGAAAAACCCCCAGGGCCTCTGCCAATCTGCCTTGGAGGAAAATTCCTTCCCGACCCCAAGTATGGTGATCAGCTAAGGCCTGAACATGTGGGCAAAACTCACCAGCCAGACACCCAGGAAAGAATTCTCTGTAGTAACTCAGATCCCAGCCTATCTAGTGTCCCATCATAGGCCATTGGGCATATTTACCGCTAATAGTCAAAGATCAATTAATTGCCAGAATTAGGCTATTCCATCATACAGTCAGGGAACAGCATTGCATCAGTCTTATATTGTCAGGACTGAACTTCTGAGGAGCTTGCACTGGGGTAGTAATGTGGAAAAGGCCATTCTGGTAAAGAATATATAAGAGAGACAAGTAATTTTTTTAAATGCCTGGTCATATATTAATTCATATATTAATTCAAGGGCACAGGAAGCACTAAAAGTTTAGGACTGGCATTTGAAAGAGTGATAGCAAGTTTCAGTTTGTGCACAGTATGTCTAAACATTGGGACAAATCCCAAGTCCTGCCTAAAGGCCATATGATGCTTCACTTACAACAGTGTAAATCCACAGCAACAATGTTGGCTTCCACAGTGTACTCCAGATTGAAAACAGTTTAAATCAGAGCAGAATTTGGCCTTCTGTCGTTTTTAGTTCTTTACTCAAGTAAACTCCTATTAAAGTGGGAGTTTAATAGGATTTAATAGGAGTTTTGCCTGAGTACAAATTAGGTAAAGATCCCAGGATTTCCTATTATCACCAATAATTCAAAAAAAATATTAAAATAATACCCTTAGTATTTTATCATATTTGTTCAGTTAATCTGTTTGACACTGATTTGCAATATCGTAGGCAAATCACTTCACTTTTCTGTCTCAGGGTATATGTACACTGTGCAGTTTTCAGCTCAAGTGGACGTATGCACTACCTTTGATCAAGCTAGCATGCTACAAATAGCAGTGTAGCCACAGCGGCGCATGCAGCAGCATAGGCTAGCCACCCGAGTATAATCTCCTCCAAGATCCTGTGCGTATACTCACAAGGTTGCCCCGTGCCACCAGCTGTGCTGCCTTGTCTAAGCTGCTGTTTTTAGTGCACTACCTGGATTAAAACTACTGTGTTTTTGTCTACCCAAGCTGGAGATTACACCTCCAGCTGCAGCATATATATACCTCAGTTACTGCACCTATAGAATGGGAATAATATTTACTCGCCTACCTATAGCTCAGAGGTGTTGTGAGGAGTAATTAATCTCTAATGTCTAAAGGCATCAGCTCCATAACAAAAATGTGATCTCTGCCCCAAAAAGCTAATGGTCAAAATCTATCTTAAGTAGATCTGGCCTTCCTCACTGTAGTATCTGACCACCTCACAACTCCCCTGTGAGGTAGGGCAGTGCCATTATCCCCATTTTATAGAAGAGGAACTGAAGTACGGAGAGGCTAAGTGACTTGCCCAAGGTGACTTACCACAATAAGTCTGTGGTAGAGTAGAGAATTAAACCCACATCTCCTGAGTCCTATAGCAATGCTTTAACTATTGGACTATCCTACAGTAGGGGGATAAAGCAAACAAATAGAGGAATAAAAGGTAACAATGAGAAAATTATGATCTGTGTGATAAGCAGCAGTCAGAGCACACCAGCTAACCAGTGTCGAGTTTTCTGTAGGTGTTGAAGCAGAGGTGAGTTTTAGGAAGCAATCTGAAGGAAGCAACGTGGTAGTTTTGCAGATTTGTACAGGGTGCTCTTTCTAAGCATAATGGGGGACAGGAGAAGAGCATGAAGTTGCTTAATGGAAAATTAGACAATTAGACAATGAAGTCTGGCATCGCTGACAGTGGAGGTGGGAATATACGTCTGATAGAATATGAAAAATGATAAATAGAGTGAAATAGTCCATGGAGAGTCTTAAAAGTAAAGCCGAATAGTTGTTATTCTACTGCAGCTGTGAATCTGGTAAACAATATAAACCTTTCTAAGACTGATACAAGATGTGCTTAGGGCCATTACTGGGTGAGTGGATAGGCACAAAAATGGCACAAAGTGCACTACTACTTGTAGTAAGATGAGGCCCTGACACATAAACCCTTGGTATCAGAGGCCTGGTATGAGGCCTAAGGCCTGAGCTAAAGTAGCGGTCAAGACTTTGCTAATATAAAGCAAAGTTAAGCTGTGAGCCAGAGGCAGGGCCTGCTCACAGAAGCTGGCAAGGAAAGGGTTGAGATTGCACAAACATATACCTACAATGTATTGGATACTACAGATATAAACATATGGTATCAGAACACTCTGATACTGGCGCATTCCACTCAGATAACAAGGAACAGGCTGACCCATCCTAACGATAGGGTCAAAAGGGTAATATGATGGATAGAGCTGTTTTGTTCGAAACAACATGTACAAGGTGAGAGGAAGCACCTTACTGCTTAGATGGGTTGTACCCAGGACCGGCTCTAGGCACCAGCGTTCCAACCATGTGCTTGGGGTGGCCATTTTCAAGGGGCAGCACTCCGTTTTGTTTTTTTGCTTCGGCGGCAGCACTCCGGCCCCTTTTTTGCTTGGGGCAGCAAAAAACCTGGAGCCGGCCCTGGTTGTACCTTGCTTCATAGAGGGGTTGCACCTCAATACGTCAGGAGTGATACTTGTTTGTATCTGTGTATAAGAATGCATCCCTGGGGTGGTGTCTTTGTCTGGCCTAGGGGGTAGTGGAGAGTCCCGCCACTGACTAAGCCGGTCCATTGTCAGGGGCAGATATTCGTAGTATGTCCTGTAGAATCTGCGGGGAACTATTATTGTGCTTCGTTTGACAATAAACCTGGCCAGGTGCCTTTGTACCTTATCAGAGTCTGTGGTCTTTGGGGGTTCTCTCGGGGTCTGCTGTGTCAGCTATCTACGCAGAGCCGGGGCAGCACACAGAGGGAACATACGCACGTAGCCAACTGATATCAACATTGAACAGAGCAGAGTATCACACCAGTAGCGTCTGATGACACTACTGTGAAAAGTGACTCTTGAAACTGACACCCACATTTTTTGTGTCTGTGATTTCAGATAAAATATGCTCCATTTACAAGCAAAATACGTGTTTTGTTTTTCCCTACCTGCAAGCCCTGAAAACTCAGCTCGAGACCCTGGAGTCAAGATAGTCTCTTTTTTCCTTATACATCTTCCTCACCTACAATTAAGGTTCTGTAGAACAAATTATGTTCTCACTGGCACTTATGCAATCCCACCGTCTTCTAGTTAGGCCCTCAGTAACACCTATGCCATCCTATTGCATTCAATGAGTTTTTACACAGGTGACAAATTCGAACTAAGTATACAATTCTGTTGATGTTAAACAAAAAAAGGCATAGAATCTATCTCTCTCCATCTCAGCTATGGTGTCTCTACAGAACTAAGAGGAGCAAACAGTAGTATATTATAGATGAAGCTGTTAGCACTGCCTATACTTATGGCTACCCAAACTTACCACTATAATTCCTATTTTGAGTTGCTTATAATTTTGATTAACACTGGCTGAAACTTCCCATGCTGGCATCTACCTTAGGCTGAATTTTTTTGGGAAAGTTTCAGCAAAAAATGGTTCAGACATTTCCAAGGATTAGATTAGGGAAAAATACACTGTTTTGCCCATGCTAAAAAAAAAATTCTTATGAATGTTTCATTGAGAAACTATAGCACCTCCATGCTTTAGAGCAGGGACATGACATTTTGGCAGGGATGCACTTGATGGCAAGGGTGGGGTATTTTTTATTTTTATTTTTGTTTATTTTTTGCTGTTCTTTTGAAAATCTGCTTGAATTTCTGAATTGCCAAGTTGAAAGCCTTTGAAAAATCTGTTCCCATATGCTTAGCAGAGACTTGTTAGACTTTGGCAACTAAATTCTTCCAAGATTCCATCTTCACTGAGCATGCTCCATCCCAGGGATGCAGGGACTATGCAATTGTACCACTCTACTTAGCACTGGTAAGGCCTCAGCTGGAATATTGTGTCCAGTTTTAGGCACAACACTTTAAGAAAAATGTGGATAAATTAGAGAAAGTCCAGAGGAGAGCAACAAAAATGATAAAAGGTTTTGAAAACCTGACCTATGAGGATAGATTAAAAAGAAAACTGGTTATATTTATTCTTGAGAAAGGAAGACTGAGGGGAGACCTGATAACTCTTCATATCATACATATATGTGTTCAAAATATTGTTATTCTTAAAAATTGTTTTGAAGGCTTACAAAGTTAAAACAATATTAATGAACTATTAAAATATACTACATCATAAAAATTGATGGTCTCATTACTTCCTTTTTAACTTTCTAGAATAGTTAAAGATGTCATTCACTAGTTGATACCAGAATCTAATTTCTGGCACCATAAACACAATACAAGTTATGTTCATGTAAATATTTCAGTGATACAGAAGTTCAAAAAAAATGAAAACTTGGAAAATCTCATCAGAAAGTCCCCCTTAACACCCCCCCCCCAAACCGCACCCCTCTGATGCATTTTTTCCTCCTGGAAAAACAACACTGCACTTGATGGGCTCATTTTACATAAAAAGCGTTCATGTGCATGCACGTTCATTCACACATGCATGTGTGAGTAGGAAGTAAATCTTTAGATTTTCCCTCCTAATGCATAAGGATGTGGTCCTGCCAAGACTTATGCACATGTTTAACTTTACTATTGAAATAAATGGAATTACT